TAATACACGGTACATATAGGAACTAATAATACACGGTACATATAGGAACTAATAATACACGGTACATATAGGAACTAATAATACACGGTACATGTATTCACTGTATACTGGAAACGACACACTGTAGGGACCTGAAATTGGCTTGAAATGTGTTTAAATTTATTGACTTTGAAACCTCACAATCTTATTTTGTATACAATAGGTGAATGATACACCAATCAATATTAAAACAAGGAACACTTTTATATATATAAAAAGTTGATAGAAGTGATAACTGACTAGTTTCTGGTTTTATGCATTAATTTAAGATGATTAGCTACATATACATAAATGAACCGTGAAAATAGTGTTTATTCATATTTGAAAGCTTTTTTGGCAAAATGGTAACTAAAATATGTAGTCCTATGACAATTTTTGACCTTTTCCCTGACTGTGCAATCTGGGAATATTAGCAATGTATTTGAAGGAATGAAATTCCTGATTTCTTAAACCATCATATACACAAATACATTCAAACTTGTTAAAAGTGTCAAAATTTGTGTTAATTTTTTTTATCAATTTCCTCTGAATTTTGATTGTGTTTTTCCTTTGATTTAAAAAGGATTTAGCAATGGTTAGAGTGTCCGCTCTAGAGTCGCAAAGTAAGGAGTTGATCCTTACGTCTCGGGTTAGAATCCCACTGTGGGACGTGGAGACTGGTCCTTCGGATGAGACCGTATAAAATGAGGTCCCATGTCTCAGTAGATGCAGGCACGAAAAAGATCCCTCCCTGCTCGAAGGCCCTGAGTGTCGAGTAGAAGACAAAATTTGCAGCTCTCCACCGCCAAGCAGTGGCGTCTCCATATGAGTGAAAAATTCTCGATAGGGACGTTAAAAAACATTCAAACAAAATAAAGAAGATTTTAGCAAAATTTTTTCACTGTTTGTTCTCACCTGTATCGAGATCACTGCCGTACTTCTTAACCCATTCTGGAATTAGAAGACCCATTAATATAGAGGTTCCAATGATAGCTAAATTTCTAGATGACGTCAGAGAAATTGGTCTGAGGTTAGAAAGCGTGACCCCAATAAACATTCCGATCATAGTGATTAAGGAGCCACCGAGAACTGGGTACGGGATCGAAATGAACACGGCAGACAACTTCCCGAACAGACCGAAGATAATATAGAGAATACCACACCCGACAAAAACACTAGTACTGGCAACCTGAAACATAAATAAAGGGAAATTAAAGAATTTTTAAAATACTCTAATGTTTGGGAGTATCATTCAGGAAAAGTCTGTTTAAACAGTTTCCCCAAATTTGATCATAAATTAAAAAAAAAAAAACTTCTGCAGTATGGTGAGATATGGACTGAAGTCTCATAATTTGTATATAACAATATAACTTACTATAATATAAGAAACTATATTACACATTTAAAATTATTTCTAGGTTATTTTTTCGTATACACGTAATCCTTAATTTCTAATTGATCCTATGTTGCCACTAAGTTGTCATGGGTTAAGTTTCAAGGTTAATATTTCTTTGTACTTAGAAATACCCTTGTAACTCCTTTTGACCCATTGTTGTCACCACAAGTTGTAGTGGCTTGAGTTTCTAGGTTAATATTTCTCGGTATAGACTTACCCGTATAACTCCTATTGATCCTCTGTTACCACCATAAGTTGTCATGGCTTGAGTTTCTATGTTAATATTTCTTGGTATAGACTTACCCGTATAACTCGTATTGGCCTTACGTTACCACCATAAGTTGTCATGGCTTGAGTTTCTAGGTTAATATTTCTCGGAATAGACTTACCCGTATAACTCGTATTGGCCTTATGTTACCACCATAAGTTGTCGTGGCTTGAGTTTCTAGGTTAATATTTCTCGGTATAGACTTACCCGTGTAACTCCTATTGATCCTATGTTACCACCATAAGTTGTCGTGGCTTGCGTTGCTCCAACAGCTCCAGACAGAATAGTTCCTAACCCCTCTATCATAATGCCTCTATTAACCGCGTGCTGCGGTGGAGGCGGCACGTGACTCATAGATGCGCATGCGTAGTAATCTCCAATCGAATCCAAGATAGATAGAAAGGTCGCTATTAAAAATCCTAGGAAAACTGGAGTCGAATAGGAAATGGGTCCATGGAGACCTGTTATAACAGTAGCATCAAAACATTGTACTAGTATTTATATAAAATAGTCAAAGATAAATTCATAATGCATAATAATTATAAATTCATATCTAAGCCAAATCAATGAAATTCGAAAGTTGTAAATTTTTCCAAATATAGTACACAAAATTAATTTCCGTGAGAAAAAAAACCCCATAAAAACAATTAAATTGTGGTAGGCATTACACGCATGTCTATTACTGTGTTAGAGGATGCTTTAAAATGAACCATGAATAGATCTAGATTTGAATGTGTTTGTATAACAGATTACCTGGATAGGGGAAAAAGAACCAGTCTGCCGCCGCGATTCCTTCCAGACGAGCGTCCGTGCGGGCATTGTAACCTTTATCTGCTTTATCGTCCGTAAAACCACCAGCTTCTGTGACGATCCAACTGACCACCCAGCCCACCACGATAGAAATCAGGATCTAAAATCAAACATTCCCAAATCTGTGATAAAATCTAAAGAAGTTACGCTTGCAATCTTGGTTTTTGCTATTTTCCGAATGAAAATTACTGTAAATCACATTTAACTTAATTTTCGCGTTATTACGCGATACAATGAGCTCGCCAAAATTTCATTCTCGCGTTTAAAAGTATTCCTTACGATTATATAGACGAAAACAACAATTCGTGAAAATTTTGTCTCGCCAATAAAGAGTCAATGACTATCTCGCAAAAATAAGGTGTCGCGAGAATTTAGTGATCTACAGTATACGAGGAAATTTTGGCCCGTTTTATTTTTGCCCAACTCTAACAACTCCAAGGTGGGCGAATTTAAACGAGGAGAATTCCATGAACACAACAGAAACGTGAGAGGGGGAACTTGTATCGGTATCTTTGAATGCGTGAAAGGACAAAAATAATTCGGGGCGAAAATAACCCTGTATACAGTAAATTAAAGAATTACATTCACATTATGAGTACTGCAACGAAATCATTGGTTAACAGCTTCTGTGAGCCATGATATAGGAGATGATAAAGGTTGTCGTTTTATTTTCGTTTCTTCCATCTTACATAGAGATGAAAAAAATTATATAAACGGGGCGAATTCATAGTATGCTTTCTTGTATTTACTGTGACTAGGGAAAATTATTAACAGAGGAGGGGGCAAATAACAAGCCTTGTTTACTTAATGGATATTGTCAAGTTCTGTACCTCGTCTGTTAATCAACAAATGATGTACAAAGTTTTGCTGATCATTAAAATGTATTAAAATTGATTAATTATTAACATTAAAATTGATTTTAAAAATTCAGTTGAAACTATGTCCATGTCTTTTAAATATTATTGGTAAAACGTCCAGGTACTGTAAATGTAAAATTACTAAGATATCATACAAAAATTCATCCATATCAACAAATAAAATAATCAATTACATTATTTTTTTTAAGAACAACTCTATCTCAGTAAGATGAACTTACAGCAAACACTTGATGTAACGGGTACTTAACAACTCGACATCCGCCCTTGGGCGTCCAGACCGCTACAGGCATGTTATACTTGGCTAGATAGAAAGCCAACACAAAGCCGGTGACGGTTACTCTGAAATAGAATTCGTCACGTACTTCATGAACGTTTAATTTTTTTCCAGAGGAATATTGAAAAGACGAAACTATATGTTTATGCGTTAAAGTTAAGAGCTGTATCAAGGAATTTAAAAATGATGAGATATCAAGAACCAAACAACCGAAAAGCGGAGAAATACAGTACAGCACGCTTAAAACGACGTGATAGACACGGACTGTATGCTTCGTGATGAGTAATCAATTATATATGTTAAGACTACATATGTTTTTACGTAAGGGGAATGGAAATCGCTTCACGTCAATTTTTTAAAAAAGTGTATTCTCTATAAGCGTGTTTTACTGTATAGTTTTGCGTTTAATTTTGAGAAGTCTACACGTAAAATACCTACAGAGCTGCAATCCCCCAGTTGGGTACACAGAAGTCCAGGATGGGGCCCACGACGGTTATCCCGAGCAGTAGGATGGTGGGTACCACAGTCACGGGACCGATAAATCGGAGGAGGACCCCGATCAGTCCCGTGGCCCCCATCAACATGTGGACCACCCCCACCAGCATCAGACACCCCTGTAGCTGTTAAAAGAAGGGGAGGGGGTTAGTGTGATAACATCAGACAACCCTGTAACTGTAAAAAAAAGGGGGGGTTAGTATGGTAACATCAGACACCCCTGTAACTAAAAAAAGAAATGGGGGGTTAGTGTGGTAACATCAGTACGGAAGCCCGTTGGTGCCACGTACGAAAAATATTTTATTTGGCGGCCGCCACTTATATATCTGGCGGCCGCCACATAAACTATTTTGCAAAGGTGAGTGTTATTGGGTTAAGAAGATGGATGTTGACACAACCGCTGCTTATGATAAAAAAGTTAATGATAAAAAACGAATTCTGAAATATTGGAACACAATTCTTAGAAATCCAACATGTAAAACTTATTTAATTCTCAACCAATCATAGCTTACAGCAAACACAAGAATATAGGTGACGAGATAAGCCGGTCTCACCTAAAACTAACACCATGAATTATGTCCGTGACCCCTGATGAGGCTTCTTAATAACCGAAACACTCTACAACTATTTGCATAGTTCAAATCAAATATTATTCTGCTCTACGCAAAAATATATCTACTAGAAGTGTGGATTGGAGTGTCGGGTCCTAATAAATTTCTTACAAGTTTGGTTGATTGATGTCGTTATTATAATTTTTAAAATGTATCCACCTCTGAAATCACACGTTAAAACATGCGCGCGCATCAGGAAGCCAGGTGTTATCTGGCGGCCGCCATATAAATTATGTGGCGGCCGTCGGATAAATATTTGGCGGCCGCCAGATGTTATATAGCGGCCGCCATAAAAATTATGTTGCGGCCATATAGTAAGTGGTGACCGCCAGATATATAAGTGGCGGCCGCCACATAATTATCTGGCGGCCGCCAAATAATAAGTGGCGGCCGCCAGATAAAATATTTTTCGTACATGGCCCCAACGGGCTTCCGTACATCAGACACCCCTGTAGCTGTAAAAAAAGGGGAGAGGTTAGTGTGGTAACATCAGACTGTACACCCCCTGTAACTGTAGAAAAAAAGTGGAGAATAGTGTTGTAGCTGTAGGAAACGTAAAATGGGGGTTAGTGTGGTAATATCAAACACCCCTGTAGTTGTAAGAAACATCAAATTGGGTTGTAAAAAAGGGGGGGTTAGCTGGAAACACCAGACACCCCCTGTATCTGTAAAGAAAGGGGGGTTAGTGTGGTAGATTAATGTGTGTTTATTTTTTCGAATGAAAAGAGCGATGTGTTCAATAATCAATTCTTTCATGATAACTACAGTCTTGTAGTACCCTTTTTTACGGTAAATGATTCTTTTTTTGTGAAAAATGGTCGAAGCAAAAGCAATTTTTTTACCAAACATCATATATTGACGTACTTTAAATTTGCCTTGCTGAAGAGATGTACGGAAGCCCGTTGGGGCCACGTATGAAAAATATTTTATCTGGCGGCCGCCACTCTTCTGCAAGGCAACTTTAAAGTACGTCAAAATATGATGTTTGGTAAAAAAATTGCTTTTGCTTCGACCATGTTTCACAAAAAAAGAATCATCTACCGTAAAAAAGGGTACTACAGTACCGTAGTTACAGTGGCATGGCCAATGGTTTCAGAAAACCAAAGAAATATATTTTGAAGACGAAATTTTAAAATTGAAGAGAAATATGAAAAAAAAATTATTTGAATAATTTGATCAATGCTCACCTCTCTCATATTTGTTAATATAACTCCCCGTAATTCTGAAGCCTCGCTGACTGTTATCTCTGATGAAGCGTTTGTGGAATTTAAGCCTGTGAAAATAAAAATCAATCAATATATGATAATGTAGAAATTGTTTGGTTTTCAGGAGTAGATTGGCAATGTTCTATTCAAAAAATTATAGGAGTCAAATGGTTTATTTAAAAATACATATACTTAGCATTTTAAAAATTATTCCCTCGAAATAAAATCTTGCTAAAATTAACATTTTTGCCTCAATACAGTTTCAGTTAAGGAAAGAAAACGAACAGATCCACTGCATTATGAAGCGTGACGTGCATATTTTGAACAATTACCTTTCAAGACTAAATTTGTTAATATTTGACAGCATCAAATACCAACAAGGTAAATTGATGCAAAGATCAAATCGGCCGATAACAAAATCTAGCATATCAAAAAGTACTTTCAAAATTTTATAAAAGCAAACTGGCAAGGAAAGCACAATTGTCAAGATATTCAATGCTGAAATAGTAATCTTTTTTTTTTATTTCAGGCTGTCCTCAAAGCAAAATAAATACATAATTTTTATAAAGTTACTAAAAAGTTTATTGTGTTTGCTCATCATTTAGATTCATCGATGTTATAAAGTCAATGAAAAGAACTTATTGTCATCAAAATGAAGATGTAGGCCTCTCAAGATGAACTATATGCTGATACTATGGATCTTTGTCATGTGATAATGTCTATGGTTTCTACAGAGAAGGTTATGCTGCATGGTACAGTGCAAAATGTAGAAAAATAATCTTTGTGTCATTCGCAGCTGCAGCATATTAAAAAAAAATTACTTGTTGAAAAACTTTTCAGTTTTTATTCACCATATACTTTTATCTCGTCATTCTTATCCGGAAAATCATGACGATTTCCTTTCGTATAATGCACACTCCCTGATCGAGAGTACCTATTGTAAACTCTTTTTATTTAACCATAAATTATCAATTATCTGATGCGAAATGAAAATGTAATCGAAACATAACAACAATTAAAGCTTAATTTAAAGCAAGTTTTTAAAATATTTTATTGATGATTTTATACATGTTATCATTTACGAATTATTATATAACGTCTCATTTCCCCATGTGCACCTTCTAACACAACCACAAATAGATCGACCACTGCTGCGGCCGATAATGATAGTGATACAAGAAGCACATATTAGAAAATAAACAGAAAGAATCAAAACAAATGAACCGGAGTCTCGACAAGAAGAAAACTTAACCTTTAAAGTTCTGTCAAGATCAGAAACTTAAAATTTCCGGAAGACATCAACAAGTGCAGTTACAAAGAGGTCAGAAATATATGCTGACAAAAACAACAATAAAAACAGACCTATTACGGACTAAGCTAAGGGAAAACGGGCAAGTTCATTTTAAGTAGGATAACTTCAAAGATTTTTGTTATCTTGGGGTGACCAAGTTCATAATGTGCTAAAGAGATAATTTTTGTTAACTACATGTAAATGCATTTTTCATCCATCCATGACACATTTATGAAGGGGAAAAGATATTATCGAAATTTACAAATAATGAGGAGGACAAATAGCAAGCATTTCATCAAGCTTTCTAATAGTACAAATAGGAACAAAGCAAAAACACACACACTTTGTTTTGAACGACAGAGGAAGGGCCGGGCAGATGCCCAGCTAGGGGACGGAACTCCTGACAACAGGTGGCGCTTTTTGTTAGCTCTCAATATTGATCAGGTAACACAATAATATTTCCATTTCTAAATTTTTTCTCTATAATAACCCTTTGAAAGTAAGCGGAGTTGATTTCCCGATAATTCTGCCGGAATGTAAATTAGGCAGGTCGATAGGTCAGCAGCTAAGGAGGCCTAATACGCATGCAAATCTCGTGCACATCTGTCTCTGTGTCTGACTCTAAGGAGGCCAAATATGCATGTGAATCTCGTGCGGCTGCCTTCGTGTTTGACGTCAGTGTGCGAGGACTATTGAAATTGGCATGGAAGTACTCGTGTAATTTAAATCGATTAGTCTACATTCTAAATGTCTAAGTCTACAATTTTATTTCACAATGAAATGGAAATATAAGGAATCACTGTTTAGTTTTGAGAGTATGCCAGGGCCATCAACAATAGTGGGAAACATGGGATAATTTTAGCATAACGGGCTTCGCCCGTTATGCAAATTATTCCATGTTTCCCACTATTGTTGATGCCCTGGCATACTCTCAAAACTAGACAGTGATTCCTTAAATCAACAACTGAGACCATAGTATATACTGAAGTACTAAGAGCTGATGTATAGGGATAACGATACTAGAGAAAGCCCTGTAACTCCTACTTATTTGTCATGAGCCTCATTGGGTATAAAACCGATCGTACTAATAACCCGAGTTATACTAATTATTTATTAAAAGATATAAACACCTAATACAGGTGAATGTGATAATAAGAGAAGTTGATGATGACAAAGTTAAAATTGGCATTAACCTGTGTAGTCTGCAAAATATCAATATTTGAAACAGGTGTTTTAAACTCTGCGGTGTCTTTATTTCGAAGTCACCGGGATTTACAAGATTGATGTAAATGATATAAAAGCGCTGTCGATGTAAATATATACTTTTATGTGAATTACCGGTAGTTGATTCTGATTTGTAGACGTAGAGAAGAATTTGCACCAATAACGTGTGATTATTAGAACCATAGACCTAAAAACTAAGCCCTCTCGCTTGATAAGATGTTCTTTAACAAGGAAGGTGATCGTTTACAAATTCATGAATATTTTCTGAAGAAGTAGCACAATACGTTTTCTTTACTTTTTGTACATGTATTACATTTATTTTCAATGTATCTTCCGATGAAAGGGTTTTACGAAGTAAAAAATTCCAATAAAAATACATGAAATCATTTTTACTCCTGATGACTGGATGACTAAATTCACAAATAAAAATATAACCTCCCCCCCCCCCCTAATTGCATGTATTTGAAGACGACACATCAATAATTTGGCAGTTTTTATAGGACAGAAGATATCAAAGTCAGAACTCCTAATTATAATGAATACTGTTATATCTAGTTATCAAGAATAGAGTTGAAGATAAAAGCTTGAATTTTAATGACAAGGGCAATGGGGGAGAGGGGTCATTCCTTCGAAAAAGAATATCGAACCCGATGAAAATTACATCACTTCCGTTTTGTATCTCCGTCGCAATTCCTAACCCATTCACAAACGAACAGGTGATTTAATGCAAGGTGATAACAAAATCTTCTGCCGATAAACCCTGATACAAACCTTGAAGATGAGTTTTCACTTTACACTTATTAGGGTCGATCTCTAGTAGAGTCAACAGAGGCAGAATATACCCGCCGTAGGCCCCTTGATAAAGAGGCAATCTGAAAATTACAGAATGAAATGAATTTAAACACAAAATTTCCCTGTGTGTTTTATTACCGAAATATTTTTATTTCAGTAGTAATTACACATTTTGCTCAGCTTTTAATTTATTAACTTTTTTTTTAAAAAAATTGATTGAATGTACAGTGAAAATTGTCTAATCCGACACCTGAATAATCCGATATACTGTGAATTCCATTAAATTTCATTCCAAATTTTACTTTTTTACTATGCTTGATGACATGGTGCAATCCGACACCCTCTCTATTCCAACACAAAATTATCTCCCAGTGCATGTCGGATTAGACAGGTTTCACTGTATTTCATCATAAAAATAGAGATATCTATTGTCATTGTGTTTTATTTGTAAAATTTAGATGCGTTTACCTGACTCCGACAGTGTTCATTAGAATTGTGCAGACTCCATTCATAAAGAGAGAGGAACTTAGTATGTAGGCCACGAATTCCTCGTCATCTACTGCACAGATCACCTTAGAGGCGATCAGCACAACAGCTAGCGTGCCCGAGATCGACATCAGGAGTTGCTAAAAATACAAAAATCACTTAAAATAAAGTAAGCATAAAGAACCGGTATTTGTCTTCCAACGAAACACAATATATGATACGCGGGTCATTAGAAGAGTTCGTAGACTTTTGTTATTACTTTTTATTTAACGCCATATAAACCAAATTTGGAACAAATGTTTTAACAACAGATTCAAATAATTTGAGTGAAAAAAAATTGATATAAATTATCTTGATATTTATAAAAATTCTAAAAGATTTAAGTCAGTAAAAATGGGCAACGGAGCAGGATCAAAATTGAGTTATTTACTAATTATATACTTTATAATGTTTATTTATAGCCGTGTCTCCGTTAAATTTTTTTGTTTTATTTGATACATTTTTCCCGTACGATCCCTCAATCATGGGATGAGACTGAGAAAGAATATTTAATAATTCAAGTTATCAAGGTTAAAATACTTAAAGTAAAAGTGGTTTGGACATTGAACCCACCTTTTCATACATGTATGAATGGCATCCACGCTTGGTGTTTTAACCTTTCTTAAATTTCTTTTCATAAATAAAAAAAAATACCCATGCTATGTTACCATTAAAGAACTGGGAAGTTTTACTTATGAAAAAAAAAAAACAACTTTAACATGTCAAGTGCCAGTGGTGTCCACTAAGTCCTAACGAGATAACGCAGGCCACCGAGAATTTTCCATATTTTTCTCATGAAAATTAACTGTTATTGGTCTTAATGGCCTCAATTCAACTCAGATTAATTGAGTTGACGACAAACCAAAATCCGGTAAAAATATTAGTGACTTAGAGACAAGCGTAATTTTGAAAATACAACTTTTTATTACCCCCCCCCCCCTTGCATTCAATTTCAACTCAGAAATCACTAGTTATGATTACTGCCCTTGACACAATCTAAAATGGTTAATAAAACAACATGTAAATTAGTGACAATTTTGTATTTACTTTGAATCAGAAATGTAAAATCCTTAGAAATATAAAAAGTACAATTGTTTTTCCTTGCATAAAAAAGTAAATGTACCCCCCCCCCCCCGCCTTGCAACGAAGTTGGAGAGCATTGCATTCGCGGGGGGTGGGGTGGTTGCGTGCGTAACCAAGTTAAGGATCGAAGAATTAATAATAATTCATATCAGCCTACTCCCCACGAAGAAACCCACAGTCTAGAACTCTAGATGTGTTCAAGAAAGAAGTCGCCGACAATTTTTATCAGTAAGACCGTAAACTTTGTTTTCTCTCGTTGTATTCATTTTTTATCCAATCCCACTGTGGGACGTGGAGACTGGTCCTATGAATGAGACCGTATAAACCGAGATCCCGTGTCGCAGTAGGTGCTAACGTATTGGCACGAAAAAAGGTACTTCACTGCTCAATGGCCCTGAGTGCCGAGTTTTTGACCAAACTGCAGCTTTCCATCAGAAAGTGGTGGCGTCTCCATATGAGTTAAAAATTGTTGAGAGGGACGTTAAACAATATACAATCAATAAATCATGTAATCATTCTTATGAAAAGGCTTATAACTATAATTTATGACTACAAGCAGATACATGGGGGTCTTCCTGCCAAATAGTACTTTTTTACTTTTATAATTTTTGGAGGACAATCATACAGAATTTATCTTCAGTTGTTTTGATTTTATTTTCCTTTCTTTAGTTGGCTCTTTGTATGTAGACCTTCCCCGGGACCAGACGGCGCGCTCTGTACCGTAATCATTTGTACCTTATAAATCACATATTACCTCAGGCTTATTTACTCCTTATTTACAAGAAACCGAACTTTAATATGTACTCTAAACAAATCTTAAAGGGAAATCACATCTAGTGAATGTCTTTACAAATCTACCTCAATTATGTGTGTGTGTGTGAGAGAGAGAGAGAGAGAGAAGGAGAGAGCACAATGATGATGTAATGTCCGGTCTCTTTACATGTCTTATATGAAAGCCCTATTTAATTTTTCTACTCAGATAAGATAAGGAAAGTAAATTTGAAAAGTAGGTCAAATTTCTTGGTCAAAGTCACGGGAAATGTGTACTTCAGAACAGGTTTTTGCAATTTGATGAACGAGCCATTTATAAACAAACTTTGAAAAGGTGATATTTGCATAAAAAAAATAGTTGCGACACATTAAAATTTAGTTGAGATTCTATTATGGTCCAAAAAATAGTTTATTAAGAAAGTTTTTTTTCACAGGTAATATATACATGTGCTATATGAAAGCCCTGTCTTTACTTTTTCAAGAGTATTGGCCAATTTAAAGTAATGTTATTTTTTAACGAAATTTAGGGAAATATTCAAGTTCAAGGTTACGGGGCCAAAAATTGTACCGGATTTAGAAAGGCCTAGTCGCAGGTAATGTACATGTGAAACAGGAAGGCTTTATCTCTTTTCACTCAATAGTTTTGACCAATGTAAAAAACAAATTGTGACAGGAGGACAGACTGACAAACTGATGGACGGACAGAAAGAACTATACACGTTTATATTCAAACTTTATTTGTATTTTACATCATATATGAGGTAACTTGGTCGATGGATATACTTTGTTATTTAGGGTTATATAGATATATATTTTATCTGTTATATAGCAGTAATGTGAGGTGTACTTTATCTGTTATGCATTGTGACTTAGGTATACTTCCATACATTCAGTTATGAAAGAGGGCTAACTTAGGTATACTTTATGTGTTATGTAGTGTGACTTAGCTATACTCTATCTGTTCTGTAAAGTGACTTAGGTTCACTTTATCTGTTATGTGACTTAGGTATACTTTAACTGTTATGTAATGTGACTTAGGTATAATTTATCTGTTATGTAATGTGACTTAGGTATACTTTAACTGTTATGTAATGTGACTTAGGTATACTTTATCTGTTATGTAATGTGACTAAGGTATACTTTAACTGCTATGTAATGTGACTAAGGTATACTTTATCTGTTATGTAATGTGACTTAGGTATACTTTAACTGTTATGTAATGTGACTTAGGTATACTTTATGTGTTATTATGACTTGTATACTTATCTGTTATGTAATGTTTATACTGTTAACTGCTATGTAATGTGACTTAGGTATAATTTATCTGTTATGTAATGTGACTTAGATATACTTTATCTGTTATGTAATGTGACTTAGGTATACTTTAACTGTTATGTAATGTGACTTAGGTATACTTTATCTGTTATGTTATGTGACTAAGGTATACTTTAACTGCTATGTAATGTGAATTTTGTATACTTTATCTGTTATGTAATGTGACTTAGGTATACTTTAACTGTTATGTAATGTGACTTAGGTATACTTTATGTGTTATGCAATATGACTTAGGTATACTTTTAACTGTTATGTAATGTGACTTAGGTATACTTTAACTGTTATGTAATGTGACTTAGGTATACTTCATGTGTTATGTAATGTGACTTAGGTATAATTTAACGGTAATGTGACTTAGGTATACTTTATCTTTTATGTAATGTGACTTAGGTATACTTTATATGTAATGTAATGTAACTTAAGTTTACTTTATCTATGATGTGACTTAGGTTTACTTTAACTGTTATGTGACTTAGGTTTATTTTATCTGTAATGTGACTTAGGTTTACTTTATCTGTAATGTGACTTAGGTTTACTTTATCTATTATGTGACTTAGGTTTACTTCACCTGTTATGTAATGTGACTTAGGTATACTTTAACGGTAATGTGACTTAGGTATACTTTATCTGTTATGTGACTTAGGTTTACTTTAACTGTTATGTAATGTGACTTAGATATACATTAATGGTAATGTGACTTAGGTATACTTTATCTGTTATGTTATGTGACTTAGGTATACTTTATCTGTTATGTTATGTGACTTAGGTTTACTTTATCTGTAATGTGACTTAGGTATACTTTAACGGTAATGCAACTTACGTATACTTTATCTGTTATGTAATGTGACTTAGGTACACTTTATCTGTAATGTGACTTAGGTATACTTTGTATGTAATGTGACTTAGGTTTACTTTATCTATTATGTAACTTAGGTTTACTTTATCTGTTATGTTATGTGACTTAGGTATACTTTATCTGTGATGTTATGTGACTTAGGTATACTTTATCTGTGATGTTATGTGACTTAGGTTTACTTTATCTGTAATGTGACTTAGGTTTACTTTATCTGTTATGTTATGTGACTTAGGTTTACTTTATCTGTAATGTGACTTAGGTTTACTTTATCTGTTATGTTATGTGACTTAGGTATATTTTATTTGTTATGTTATGTGACTTAGGTTTACTTTATCTATTATGTGACTTAGGTATACTTTATCTGTTAAGTTATGTGACTTAGGTATACTTTATCTGTTATGTTATGTGACTTAGGTTTACTTTATCTGTTATGTTATTTGACTTAGGTTTACTTTATCTGTAATGTGACTTAGGTATACTTTATCTGTTATGTAATGTGACTTAGGTACACTTTATCTGTAATGTGACTTAGGTATACTTTGTATGTAATGTGACTTAGGTTTACTTTATCTTTTATGTGACTTAGGTATACTTTATCTGTGATGTTATGTGACTTAGGTATACTTTATCTGTGATGTTATGTGACTTAGGTATACTTTATCTGTGATGTTATGTGACTTAGGTTTACTTTATCTGTTATGTTATGTGACTTAAGTTTACTTTAACGGTAATGTGACTTAGGTATACTTTATCTGTTATGTTATGTGACTTAGGTATACTTTATCTGTTATGTTATGTGACTTAGGTATACTTTATCTGTTATGTGACTTAGGTATGATTTATCTGTTATGTGACTTAGGTATACTTTATCTGTTATGTTATGTGACTTAGGTATACTTTATCTGTTATGTGACTTAGGTATGATTTATCTGTTATGTTATGTGACTTAGGTATACTTTATCTGTTATGTGACTTAGGTATACTTTATTTGTTATGTGACTTAGCTATATTTTATCTGTTATGTCACTTAGGAATACTTTAACTGTTATGTGACTTATGTATACTTTAACTGTTATGTGACTTTGGTATACTTTATTTGTTACGTAATATTTAGGAAGGTTATATACATTAGATACTGAGATATTTCAGAGACTAGATTTTTTAAAGTGGAGAACTTATTAGTTAAGAGTGCAGAAAACAGATAATGAGAGTAACGACTCCTATAATATATAATGAACCGCTACAAACGTCTGGCAATTTTACATCTGATAACTTCTTAGGAGTACATTTCATTTACAAGATATTTTTATGTAGTACATTTTCTTTCACATAATTGTAAACTCAGCATTTCAAAGGAAAAACGGAGCTTCATGCGATTTTGGAAGTTTTCGCATCTTTCATCTTCGCTAGCAAAGGGTTTCTGATACGCTACTCTCATTATGAGGATAATAGCCTATCAGAAACCCTTGGCTAGCGAAGATGGCATCTTTATGCACATTTAATACAAATTTAACTTTACTATGTTTTGATAGTTTTCAATGTCAAATTAATTGTAAATGATAATTTTAATAAAAATTCAGCATGAAAATCGTCATATAACAAACGATTCAATACATAAATGTATTAAAAAAGGGAAAATAAAAAATTAAGATAAATGAATAAATGCTGTAAAATATACCAAAATTAGTTATGTTTCAATTATTATGCACACGTATTACAATAAAATACACAAAGAAACAGAAATGGGACAGACATTAGTATACCTTTGATTATCCTCTTGGGAAATGAGAAATGATGGTGCTGTTGGAAAATTTGAAGGAAAAAACGATTTTGAAACAGGAGTGTTGGTGGCGCTATGCAAAAAGCAAGAGCGGAATAAAGGAGGGTTGAAAAATTGGGTTGACGTAGAAAAAATACAAAGAATTATATCTGCAGAACTGCAACTCTTTGTTTGAGAAAATTCGGACAGATATTTCTCTGCTTTATCTGTCCGAATTTTCTCCAGTATAGAGCTACAGTTCTGCAGCTAGAAGAAATGGAGACGTGGAAGAAAAAGACAGCAAGAAAATGTAGCGTTTTTTGAAATTAAAAATGCTTATGCTGGAAGTGCAAGTGAAATTAAAAGAAAATTAGTAAAGCTCTAAGTAAAAACCTTAAGTTTTAAAAATAATTATAATTCGAAGTCAAGGACAGAATTTTTTAATTAATACACGATGTCGACATTTGTTTAAGATTATAATACTTAACCGCAATACTAATTCGTTCACGCCTGCCTTTTCTGGTGACATGGATATGTTTTATTGACAACACGTGAACCTCCTGCACAGGATCTGTGGTCATGTTGAAGGTTAAAAAAATGAAGTCAAGATAATAATTATTTTCACCTATAAATTTATAATTCTCCTCATTTGTTTTCTCCTAACCATAGATTTAGAAGTAAAAAGTTCTTTTTCTTTTTCTCTTTTTTTTAGTCTCAATAATGTATAATTTTTTCATCAGAATTAAAATTACAAAAAATGATACGGGTGGAACGAGTCAATTTACAATTAATAGTTTAATTGTAACACAGTACACTCATATTCACAAGACCCCAGAAACATTAAGCATTAAGTATAAATCTTACTGCTAAGATAATAAAAATTCAAACATTGTATGAAGAATAAATAATCTGAGGGTTAACGCATATTCAGACAATTGATTCTTTTCAACCTGTCGGGCGAGGAACAGCGAACCTTTTTTCGAATGTAGGTTGATCTTTACCCCCCCCCCCCCACCCCCCCCCCCCAAGGCAGCCCCCTATCAAAATTAAAAAAATCCCCTTTAATTTCTAATCTCGTAAACTTCACAGAGGTAATACATACTCCTCATTAACATTTCTAATCTGTTTACTCTTCGGCATGTGAACTTTTGTGAACTTTTTGAAGTGTGACAAATTTAATTGTATAGGAGCTTCCTGCTGAGAGTGTTTTCTCGCAGTAATAAACTTTTGTCAACAATTTACTGACCCTCTGGTCAAAAGGTCAAATATTCTGGCTTAATGATCGTGACAACAGGATACTACTGTGTCGTCTGGTTCCCTCATTTTAAGTGAAGTTTTTGAGTCGGGGAACCAGATTATATTTTGTCTTACAACATCCTGTGAGAGAGAGAGAGAGAGAGAGAGAGAGAGAGAGAGAGAGAGAGAGAGGGAAAGAAAATTTCGAACTTGTCACTAACTTATATTGATTTTTGGGGGTAATTTTCTTCCTGATAGCAGCTGTGGTCTGATAACTATTAATCAAAATAAGGAGTAAAGGAACCATTTGTAAATCTGCATGCTTAACAAATCCTCATACTTTCCATAATCCAGAGATCCTAACGTTCTAGATGTCACGTAACTTCCGGTTCTACTTATACAAATTAAAAATCTTTCATTTTAAGCACTGTCTTTTACCATTACCTGAAATGCGAAAAGTAGAAGCAGATGAATTGGCGGGGTTTCGCTGGTTTTGTACAGTAGGCGATCAAAACTTTCAGTTTGTAAATCCACTTTGTTGTCGCCCTTAGCTGCGTCATTTCCGGTCTCTTCTTGGTAAGACACTTTTCGTTCTCTGGGAAGCGAATTCTGCTGTAAAATAAAAATTATTTTGTGGACATTTTATTTTCGATATTGTTTTAGAATGCAATCAAACATAAACTACTGTTGTCTTGGTTGCCTTCATAGGCACGTGTTTCGTATACGGGGCAACCCCTACTTATTTTTATCACTTAGGGGGTGTCCCCAAATCGATACAGGTACATGTACCCGGCCGTGGTTGTCTTTCAGGCCTCTAGACAGAATGTATTATATACTGAGTTCTGGAATCAGCAATTAACTGTATATTGTTGTTATAACTCTGTGCTTTAATTTACACTGTGTCATGAAGAGTGGAAAATGGCACTTTGTTCCTAGAATCTCTCTCTATTTATTAATAATTCATAAAATCAATTACTTTTTGGGTCTGATACCCTTATTGTTTCTTAAGATATATATAAAATTAAGGCTTCCTTTCACTCTATATAAACTGTTCCGTTAAAAAAACAACTAAGAATACAATAAATCCCGATAAAACAAAGCAATTAAACTTTGTTCATTTCTTAATGTCAAGGCTGTTCCGCGCATCAATCACGTCTCATATGAAATCAGTCTTGTGTCGCTTAATATTAGTAAATATAGACTAAAACGTCTTTGTGAACACGAACTACTCATTCTTTAGGCCTTTAGAGGGATTTATTACAGATAGCACCGCAGTTTATTACACTTCCTCTTGTACAATATTACTGATGGATAGAATTTGTTTTTATATATAGTAAGCTTTTTTCAAAAGCAAAATCATAAGCATAAAGCATGTATATAATAATATTTCCTTATATTTTATTTTCCTGAAGTTTATTCCTTTACTAAGAATTGTATTTATATGATGTTAATTATATTTAGGCGATTATTACAATATCGTAGTTTCGTTGTGGTTTTCAAAATCGGAAGAAAATAAAAAATTACCTTGATGATCTACCATCCTATAGTAATACACGTATTCATTTAATTGAACCATTAATTATTTCCCTGTAATTACGCAACATGCTGAGTAATGATGGAAAAGGATAAAGGCTATTAAATGTTAATTCAAGATTTAGCAAACAGTAAACATTTAAACTCATCAATCAAAGTGATCCCTTGTTGTATACATATATTAATTTACCTAGATAAACTTTTACAGGTGTGTATTTTGTATTGTTTGATATTTGTTTTTATTAAAACTTCCTGTCATTTTTATATTATATAATAAAATTTGCACAAAGTCCCTAGTCTAAACCAAATTAACGATGGGACATCTCTCTTTTTTCAATGAACAGTATGTTTTACCACTGTGTCACTTAAAATAGACAATGATTTGAATAAATTATGAAGTATTATATATTTTTTGCGTTAAATTGATAAATAAAGAATAAAGCCTAGTCGTCTGCGTTGCGTAGTGGTTAAAGTGGGACGCAGAGTAAGAGATATGTTCGAATCCCTTTGCGGGACGCGGAGACCATATACGGTAATCTGAGCTTCTGTGTTGCAGTAGGTGTTGATATATAAAAGATACCATATTTCTCAAAGTTTGTAAGTGCCGAGCTCAGCTGTAAATTGCAGCTCCACCGGCGTCTCAAAGTGTGCGAAAAAACAAACAAGCGAATAAAACAGAGCAATGAATTATAACTTAGCAAAAAATTAAAATAAATAAAATATAACTAATTTATTCTGTATTAGTGAAAACAACATGAAGAACAGTACCTTATGTTCCCCATTGTCTGAAATATATCCATTATTCTTCACACCGTTTTCCGGGATTTCTATGGTTTCTGACATTTTGATCTACTACTAACATACCATCAGACTAAATATTTACCGACTGACAGCACACTCGTTGACAGTGCTGTTATTTCACACATGATTTCACAACGGCGTGGAACAAATATGCCCCCTCTACATTCACAGTTAATATCAGAAGTTAACATTAACTAGACCGTGACGTTATATAGTAAGGGCTGAGGACATCTCCAAAGACAACAAAAACTGCGGGATGAATACGGTCACTTCTTAGTAGTATCATTTCTTTGTATAACCTTCCCTGGAGATATTTCATCAATGTCTCACATACGTTAAACGGTGTCCATTATAGAACGAAACTTTTAAATGTTACCTACTAACAGGTTTAATTAAACATCAACGTACGATTCAGCGAAAAATAGGAATTGAAAGCTATTATATATGTCAGACGGAGAGCCTTATTTCTGGACTTGCCTTGAGCTTTACATTAACGTCACTTAAAACAGAATGTCAGGCTTCGGTCAGAGTTTTACTGTGTGACCGGAAAACGAGTCAAGTGTAAACTTAAGAGTTATTCGGCTACCGGATGTTGAGTGATGTTAATAATATTCAATATTTTATGTATTTGGCGAATGGAATAAAACTAAATTTAAGGCCATCCACGTGAATTTTGGTGTAGACTTTTATATATCATCAAATACATTACTCGTGTCAGCCATTCATAGTATTTATGGTGTTAAGTGTCACGATATGCATACAGCATACAAACATCCAATTATCGGCAAATTAGACTATCGATACATATGGAACGCCATCACTGCCTTATAGCATAAAACTATGCATTCATTATGTCAATCTATCATTACGTGATGTGAACATATCTTTAGGTTATGTCAATTTTTTATGAGGTGATGTAAAAATATCTTTACATCATGTCAATGCTGCATTACATGAAGTAAACACATTCTTCCATTATGTCGGCACTTTATAACTTGAAGACCAAAGTTCATTATGTGAAGTGAAAATATGTTTACATTGTGTTAAAACTTTATAACGTGAAAATGAATATTTCTTTATATTATTTCATTTCTTTAATATGTGAGGTCAAAATTGCATTACGTCAAGTTAATTTCGTTTTACATGTGCTCTATGATTTAATTTATCATTACATTAAGTCAAAGTACATTCCCTTTTGTGAGTGTGTATTTCTATTACAACAAAGCATTATTACGTGATGTCAATGTATCTTTATTTTAGGCCGAGGTCATCACAATGTGAGGTGAAAACATCATTATGTCAGTGCTTTATTACGTTAAGTAAAAAGGTTTTTAACATAATGTGAACATATATTATGGAGACAGTCCCGGCGTTCCAGATTATATCAACACTTTATTACATTATGTCAAAACTCCATTCCTTTATGTGGATATTTAATAAGAATACGTTAACTCTTTCTTATGTGATTTAGAACTTTCTTTACATTGTATTAATTCTTTATCACGTTGATTACAAATGTTCATTACGTGCTGTAAAATACATTTACGTTATGTCAAAGTTGATACCCGGGTTTTCACGCCTGGGAAGGGGGGGTGGGTTCCTGATTAATTATACATTATATGAGAAGGGGGGGGGTCTGACTTCCTCTTTTTTCCGACATAACTTTATCATAGAAAATGTTCATTGAAATTCAGCCCCACTTTTTGCTGAAGTATAAGGGTAATGTAGTATATTTGGAATTTTTTTTAGGACTGATCGAAGTTGGACCCCCCCCCCTTTCACCCGAAATAGGATTTTCGAGTTTGGATTTTTTTTCTTTTTTTTTTGTCCCATATTTTTTTCTGGCTGACAAACCTCCCCCAACCTTCAAAAACGATTCAACTTCACTGGAATTAGTCATTTTTCAACCATTCCAGGACCAGAATTCTGTTCCGAAAATCTACCAGTCCCTCACTTTAATCAATTGACCAGTTGCCTTAGTAAATATGGGCTTATATTAGTGGCGATCTTGGGTTCTTGAAAAGAGTAGCTAAAGGGGGACGATATGGTGAATGAGTTGGGACCAGGGGGTGAAAGCCCGGAAGCTCTCAGGCTTTAGATTTTTTTTTTATAAAACGTTTCAACTTATTTCAGTTATACTTTATGTAAAACTAATGCAATGTCCTACAAAATAAAATCAATTGATTAATTTCATGCATATTTTGGTCACTAAAGATGGGAGGGCGGGATCCCCCCTCTCCCCACCATACCACCAGTGCACGTATGAAATACCATGTGTTTACACTTTTTTTTTTTAAAAAAAAAAGGAGGGTTAAAGACTGATAAAAAGCTTAGGACAGTGCTTTGTAGTTAGATCAGAAGTTTTGGAGTTTTCAAAATAATTCAAAATAAAAAGAAAAATATTGCTGCATGACACATATTATTTGATTTGCGATATTTATATGAGATTAAATGGCCATTGAATTTCGACGTTAAAAAAACAATCGTCAATAAAGATTCCATGGGAACATGATCCTATTTATAAATTTAACCTGATATTTAATTAAGGATTAATTAAGTCTTGTGTATAATTTAATATTTGATATGTTTAATTTAAATTATTTGCATGTTTAACATATGTGCATGTAATATTAAAAACACAAAACGAAATTGTTGAAATATTCTAAGATATACTGACAAGAGGCTAAGCATTTTAGACACAATGTAAAGATACAATGGCATAACATAATGATTTGTCAAAAAGTAAGGGAAAATTGACAACGTGTAATAGATTCCCGTCGTCATGTAGCATATTGATGACACAGTATAGTAAAGAATTGGCCACATGTGACATTTTTTTTCACATCATGTAATGAAATTCTGACATCGTGTTATAGCGACTTGATATTGAATTAAAGATAAATTCACATCTTGTAATGAATACTTAGACCAAATAATAGAGAGTGCACATAATGTAATAATGAGTTGAAATTATATAAAAACATCTTTACACCACGTAAAATCGTTTTGACTTAATGTCATAAAGAGCTGATATAATGCAATGGAAGATTGGCGCAATGTAATTGAAGTGCGAGTTAATGCCATAAAGACTTAACATAATGTAATGGAAAGTTGACATAAAGCAATAGTTAGTGTGTGTAAATGTCATAAAGAGTTGACATAATGTAATGGAAAGTTGACATAACGCAACAGTAGTGTGTGTAAATGTCATAAAGAGTTGACATAACGCAATAGTAGTGTGTGTGTAAATGTCATAAAGACTAAACATAATGTAATGGAAAGTTGAAATAATGCAATAGTAGTGTGTGTAAATATCATAAAGAGTTGACATAATGTAATGGAAAGTAGACACAATGCAATAGTACTGTGCGTAAATGTCACAAAGTGTTGACATAATGTAATGGAAAGTTGACACAATGCAATTGTAGTGTTCTGCTATAAGGCAGTGACGGCGTTCCATAGATACAACTGGGACCACAGACGGCAATTCAAGTTGTTTTTCGTTATTAGAGACACCGATTTTTCTGTTAAATATAAAACTAGTTTTTAGTGCTAGTTTCTGAAATCCATCATCATGAAAGATACGTTAAAGAAAATTTCAAAGGTTTAAACCGTAAATGTCAAAGATGTTTCCTTCCATGGTATTATTTACTTATTTAAAAGATAAACATTACTAACATTATCAAATTTTTTGGCATGTTTGCTTTATGCAGCATTATCCTTTTTCTATGGAAGGGAATTACCGCCAAAAGTCTATGTATCTTGCTTTTATTCTTATTCTGCCTATTTCTTTATGCTTTGTTATTATTGTAATTATATGTCACTTTATTGTTTTCAAATTTGTCTTTATTACATTTCACTTTGACTTTTATCCTTCTTCATTTCGTCCTTACTTCTGTGTTTCTTTATTCTTGTTAAGTCATTTTATTTTATTTTAAATTGATACAGTATCTTAAATGATTATCTCTATTACAAACGTTAACTCAATCACGCAAACAATGAAGCATATTCAATGAAGACGAATACGAGTTGTCCTAATTTAGTGCCGCATTATAACGCTAGGTGGCAGGGGTGTTCGCTAAGAGTGTTGGTAAAATTAGGTAAGCAAACCGGGCCGGGGTTATTCGAGATTTTTTTCCAATTTTCTGCCTTAATACTTTATCGATCGAACTTAAATTTTCAAATGAATGATGTTTGTTATTAGTTCAGGTATGTACCCGATATATGTACATGCCATTCCCTCGAAAGTCCTAGATGGTAAGATTTCCCTTTGAAGTGAAACATAGTGATGCTTCCTTTGGAAGACTATACACTTGGACTTCCCCCGGGGTATAGCTAGTCTTCCGTGGGAAATCTTGCTATATATAGCAATCCCCCCTTCATAGCAACCCCTCCCCCGAATAGTTTTTTAATCGTAAAACGATGTTTATATATACGAACGTTTTCAGTTTTTGAAGAAAAGTTATCCGTCCTATACATATGATACATGTATGAATAAATATTTAAATGACATCATTCTAAAAGTGCTTTATAATTAAATCATTTTAACCAATAGTTAAATATAGATAATCTTCACGAGTCCATATGGATTATGACAAACCCCCCTCACCCCTGGGTTAAGTGGCACTGTGGTTACGGCGTCTGCTCTAGAGTCACGAAGTACAGTAGTAAAGAGTCGATCAATACGTCGTGGGTAAAAATCCCACTGTAGGATGTGGATTTCAATCCATCGATCTAGACCTTGTTATCCGAGGTCCCGTGTCGCAGTAGGTGCTGGCACAAGAAAAGATCCCTCATTGCTCAATGGCTATAGGTGCCAAGTATATAGGCCAAATTTGCAGCTCTCCACCGGTAAAGTGGCTAACTTTTTTCAAGAACAACTATTTTTTAATTCCAATTTTTTTTGGGGGAAAATTTTTTTTATATCCACTGTGGTGAAATGTGGGGGGGGGGGGGCTAATCTTCCTTTAAGTAAACATTTTCTATTGTAAAGGTAAGGTCGGGGGAAAAAGTGGGAGGGGAGCCCTCCCCCCTGCCCCCCCCCCCCTCTGATACTACGTCCCTGTCTTACCCTTTTTGTTGCAGTACTTATAGTCAATTTATATATTAAAAGTCATGTACTTATTGGTATGAGTAAAATTTAGCACTGTAAAAAA